CTTTCCCGCACTCTCAGCTGCAGCAGTCAGTGGTGGTTCGTCCATAACGTCGGATTCCGAAGTCGGCGTCGTTCAGAGGAGAAAATTTTAGAAAGAGTGGAAAGGCGGAGGGTTATTGCAAGTAGAACCGTTGAGTCTATTCGAGTGGAACCCGCTTGCTAGGGTGATTTCGAATCTTTCAATAAACTCTCAATAATTCTCTAGTATCCTTTATTGTTTCATTCATATAATATCCTATAATAACCCCCGCAATAATCTCTAATAACACTCTAATAACTTTGATCATTCCACTTCAATATTCCCCTGCAATAATCTCTGAATAATCTTCGTGGTTTCACTTCAATAACCACCTACAATAACCCCTCAATAAACTCCTAAGAATCTTCACGATTTCACTTCAATAACACTCTAATAATCTCCGCGATGTAACACACGTGGCGGCATAATACAGAAGTCCACACGCAAAGCTACGTCCGGACTTCGTATGAAAAATTTTCTCCTTTCACAGAGGAGTTTTCAAATGGTGAACGATTGAGAGGCATTTCCTGCAAAGTTTTTTTTTCTTTTTCTTTTTTGAGTACCACCTAATTCTTATGAGGCATTTCATTGTGTTTTTAAAATGCTGAAAACAGCAGGTCCCGTCGCCCCGCTTACCGCCAGCCCGACCCTACCGCAGCTTCCCGCCACCCATTCGCAGCTGCCCCACGCCCGGCCCCTTCCTGCCGCTCGTCGTTGCAGCTGTCGACCGACCTCTGTTGCCCTTCCGCCACTTGCACGCCCATGGGTAATGTTTTGTGTTTTGTACTGCAAGGAAGACGTTTGTATATATCATAGGCGGCAAAGCTTAATACGGAAGCGCACATGGATCAATTGTTTCATAAAAAGTATTTAAGAAAATAAAAAATATTCAACCAAACATATTTTATATTTTTTTGTTTTAAAAAACATATAAATCATAACAGTTACAAATACACTTTTTAAAAGCATAAAATATTAAAAAAAAACTAAATAAAAACAAAAACAAAAATAGAAAATATAAAGTGATCCCAAACTTATCCTAAATTTTAACATTTATATTAGTATCATTCAAATCTTTCATATCACATCAAAAATATAATCATTTTAATTTAAAAAAAAGTGAATGTATATTTGCATGCATATGAAAGATGTGATTTATATAAAAATTAAAGTTTAGATGTTAGATGTTAGATGTATAAAAATATATGAGAATTGAGTGATATATACATAAATCTTGCTCGTTTTTGTGAAGATTTGTGTACCTAACACTCCATTTATATACACTAACATATATAATGCCTGAATTTTTAATTTTGACATACATATCATGTTATCTCTGCATGAAAAGATTAATTTGACATTTTAAAATTATAAATACTGATATTTTCTTATATAATATTAAATATTTGGGTGGTATAAATCTATACAATAAAATTTAAGTGCTACGTATGTACATACATAGGAATTGGGTTTTTTGAATCACATATTCATTTTTTTGGAATATAATAATAATAGTTAGAGATATATAATTGATGCATGTCAGAAAATTCATGACAGTAGGGCAATATATTATTATCTTAACGTGATTCGAAGATTCAACCACGCTCATTTGAAATAAATAATCAGTTGAAATACCAGAAGTTTGTACATGAAAAATTCAGAAAACGAAAAAATCTTAGGGGTTGACCCAATTGTAAAAATCTACTATAAATTGATAATTACAGAGTCTATTGTCCCACGGGTGGGAAATGTTTGTCAAGTATTCTGAATTGTAATGTCGACGTGCAGATAAACTTGTTGCAAGGAAAGGGTTGCAACAGTAGCGATCAGCGGTTGTATTAGGTGGTGGTCGATGGCAATCAGCGATGATCGATGTCAGACGATGGTGGTCAATGGCGGTCGGAGGTGGTTGACAGCGATAGAAATGATATTGGACTTCAACTCATTCTCAAAGCTTCAAGCTGTTCCTCAAGTCTCTAGCCTCAAGCGCTTCTCATCCCCCCTCATGAGAGGGTGGGACTCTATTTATAGAGTTTCAGGTGCAATTAATGCAAAAGTATAAACCACTTGGTCCAGAGAGATTTCATTGATCACACATTATTTAATGAATATTTGAGTGACTTGATGATGTCAGAATTGAGCAATCTTTGGCTCGTTGGATTCCTCTCGCTGAGACGCTCGATTCAAATATGACTCATTGAATTCGTCTTTCGTTTGACCTTACAAATCTGCCCAGAAATCTTCCAAAGACGGTTTAATGGCTTGATTAGGGCTCACTTTGGTTTATATCTCATCGAAGTTGGTACCATTGGGTCTGTCTCATCGAGCCGATCAGTTTGAATATAAGTTTGCTGAAATCGAATCTCTGAATAAGATTTTATCAACGTTTGAATATTTTTTGCTCAAAAGATTGTCTCTATATTCTTGTCATGTCTCGAGATTTATGTCAAATAATAAAATTTTGTTGATAACTTATCAATAATCATTATAAATTTTACTAAAAAAATAATATTTATGTATAAATATAGCACTTTAAATATTTTTTTGTATTTATTTATCTTCCAAATTTTCTAAGCAATATTTATGGCATCCCAAATTCTTTAATAGATGAAATTTAATACTTATATTCACTCATTTTCACCTCACGAGACTAACCCCATCTAGTATTAATTGAGCATAAATCTCATGTCCATATCTTATATGATAATGTTTTATCATTCTCGATCACAATAAGATCTTTTCACATTAAAATCTTATTGTAGGAGTCATCTTTAGTTCGTCCTTTTCAAGTCTCTTTTAAGTTGATCTCATTTTCTGCCGGTTTCATATATTTCCTTCTTATTGCGAATTTTGTTCTTTTAAGTTAGTAATCTTTGGTTGTCTCTTCCTCCAATTGAATGGCGTACATGCACAATTTTTATCATGCAATATGGTGCTATGTGAGGTTAGAAATGTGATTGTATTTGCTTTTATGTGCTTCCTCCATGTAGCCCAAACTATCATTCACTTCGAGCAAAACACAACAATAGGATTTTTCATGAGCTTTTTTATTTATTTATTATAATCAAAGAATATTAATTTCTTTCCCATTTAAAAATAATAATAATATTATAGTCCTCTCATTTTGTTAATATATTTTTTATTCTCTACAGGCATGACAAAATTAACAAAGTTTATGTACAATCATTTATCAATCTACGGTTGCTTCTTTTACAAGTAATATATAAAGTTGATAGGGTTCAAATTAAGCAATCAAATCTTCAGTGTTGACTATGATGATTGAAAATATAACTGGAAATGTTAACTTTTAAATCAATCTTCAAATCGGGTTTCAAAATAACAAATTAAGACATTCAAGTTAAAAACAATCAGCTAAGGGTTTTAAATAATTCAGGTTAAAATCAATCCCTTAAAAATTTTAAAGTAAAGTTCATTTATCCTCCGCAACAGTTTGTCAAGGATGATATATTTTTTATTGTCTTAGCTTACAATGAGTGAATGTCATGTCGAGCGCATCACTATGTTCACACTCAAGCAATATCATGCCAGTAAGAATATAACACGAGTCCTTTATTCTTGCTATTTGACACAGCGACTCCAACAAAATTCAAGGTATTGTGATGACAACTAAGGTCGACTTAAATTTAAACCCTTAGAAAAACAATCATCTCAAATCTACAAGGTTCTCCTCAACGACACAATCTATGGTTGCTAACAATGATTCTTTGATCATGTTGGAATGATTACCTCTTTTGATTAATTATATCATGTACTACAATGACCCGAGATGAAGAAACCATGTGATCTTGGTCAAGTTCGTCATGATTTTCCCCACCATCTACTTTAAACTTAAGGTGATAAATTTTATAATTATAAACTTACATTTGCTGGTATTATATTGAACATTCAGTATTTAATGACTAGCTTTAATTGAAAGTGCTCTCCCATTTTCAGAAAGAATAATTAACCATTAGGACTTTTGCTTATAAGAAACTACAAAGTCACAAAATGAGGGTGAAATATCCGAGTAGTCTTTTATATATAATATAACCTACCTTCTGAAAAATTGACCCAGAATATTAAACACAAAGCTCTCAATGAAAAGAGTTTTTGTGGAGTGAATTTTTGGACCCCACAACATTTCAACTACGATGTAAGTTATTTGTCTTTATGTAACTCTATTGTGTAGATTTTGTGGTTTCATAAATGAGCCTAAGTCCTTTGACGACATTAAAGTGCTTCTTGGAAGAAAATCAAGATAATTGATAATGTAATATATAATTTATCTTATTCACATGCTACAAAATAAAAATATTTGAACATATTTTTTCAAATTATCATATAATAGAATAAAAAAAGGATTGTAGTTATTTTATATGTTTGCATTATTAAAGAGATAGAAAATGAAATGAAAAATCAACCATGAGCTTTCAAGGATAGCAGTACATAGTAACTCATTGCACCTCAATGCAAATTAAAATTGGCCTTTTGGATTTGTTCTCATTATTACTATGATGTTATTCTTTAACAAAACCTGACATTAATTTTCATGTAAAGATCATTATTCATATGATTGCACCTGTTGATGCATTTAAATTTTATTATCAATGAATCTAATTTGCTTTGATAACATGTTCTTTTGAATACATGACTTTCATAGATTTTTTGATATACAACTAGATGTATACATTTGTCATTTATATAACTTATTTGTTGATTGACAAGTTGGAAATAACTCATAATGATGACAAAACCTTTGAATTAAGATAAAATTGCAATACAAGGATGACCACTGCAATTTTAACTACACCACAACAATAAAGAATATATTGTTCATACACAAAATAAGTGTTTATTTCTTAAGTAAGCCTATAAAGAAAAATACTCGTCACACACATTGAAGCATATTATGGTTATTCAAATCTAAATTATTTGCTCCAAACCATCTAAAAGGCTAAAAACAACTTGTACATAAAAATGTCTAAGCTGAATCTCGAGGAAATGCTAACAAAATATAATTTCCCGATAATAGGGCTTTATAAATTTATGAGCATTATAAAAGACAATTTGTTGAAAAATAGTTTGCAAAACTACAGGATGATTATCATGATAGTCATAGTG